GACATTAGGTAACTTGGCTGTGATCACACAGCTAGCACGAGGTCAAGCTAAGATTCACACTGCAGTAGATGGATGGAACCTGAGCCTCAAGCACATGACTGCCACATTAGTTTGTTTTACTTTCTTTGCATTCCATGTGTTTAGCAGTGAGAGTAAAATGTCACTGTCAGTAGGGGCTCTCAGTTCCTGTGTTCCTGTCCTGGTTGTCTGAGGCTGGAATTACAGCAACTACAGTCACATGAAAAGCCCCCTAGGTATATTTAGAAAAGCAAAACCACCTCTCTTCACTGAAGTAACTGTGTATGGCAACACTTAAGGCTTATTTCTAAAACAATCACCAACAAAATAACTGTAAAAGTTGCGATTCAACACCTTTTTCAAAAATCCTTGGCCATTATTAAATAGGTTCTAGAAAATTCCTCTATCTCATGCATAGTCACTAAGCAGAGCAATCCTCTGTAGTTTCTCCATCTTAAATTGATTACCCTAAGGCATCGTCCTCAGCAGTGCCCACTTGGGCCTGGACCCATCCACAGATGTGGTCTTATCTTGCCCGTGGCCAGTGTCTTTATTACCTCTCAACGTGGCAGTCCTTCCAAGTGGCCACAGAGACCAAATTCACTTTCTGCCTGAAGTTCCTACCCCACAAACACATTAGAATCTGAAAAGAAACCCGGTGAAGTTAAACTGTGAGAAGATGCTGATTTAAGCGAAATCTATGACTCCTTTGGAAAGCAGAATGAGTCTTTGCTGTTGCTTTACCTAACAAGATCCCCAACTCCCCGGATACATACCTTAGCATCATCTATGAACTAAAATTTTTATTCACTTTTCTTCAGTAACCATGACTTTATAGCCTACTTTTGCTAGGGAGCCTGAGTTATAAAACATCTATCTACACCTAAAAGAGGGAGCATCCTTTCCAGAACATTCATTGACTAGAGAGAGGGGGGAGAGAGGGAGAGAGGGAGTGAGGAAAGGAGGGAGGGAGGGAGGGAGGGAAGGATGGAGGAAGGGAGGAAGGGAGGGAGGCAGGGAGAGATTGAAAATGACAAATATATTTTAAAATCAAGCACTCACTCTCCTACAGACCTATTTACATGAGGTAAGGAGATGTGGACTATTCTGTTCATTAAAGGACAGAACTTTTTTTCTTTAATATTCATTCACAGGGGTTAACATAGTATGAGAGAAACAACCGGGGCTTTGGACTTTGTCCACTGAGAGCTTGTTTCAAGGCCTTGAGCTTCGGCTCCCCCATTTGTCAAATGGGAGTCATATTATCATCTGTGAGCAAAGAGGACAGTTATCATTAACCACAAGGGAATGGTGACAGCAATGTAATTGAAATATATTTGAACAAAATGCTACATCATGATTTGGAAAGAGAGAAAGCACAACTAATGGCAACTAACAGGTTACAATAAAGCCTATTTGGATACCTCAAAAAGGTTTTAGCAGCCTTGGGAGATAGCATTTAATCTGCAAGATCCATATGAAAAAGCCTGGTGTAGTGGTATATTCTTGCAATACCAGTGCTAGGGAAATGAAGGCAGGTGGCTCCTTGGGACCTGCTAGCCAGCCAGACTAGCCTAATTGGATGAGCTCAAGGCCAATGAGAGAAACTCCTTAAAATATCAAAGTGGATGGCTCCTGAATAATGATACCTGAGATTGACTTCTGACCTATACAACACAGAGAGCGGGGGGAGGGAGGGAAAGAGGGAGAAAGGGAGCAAGGGAGGGAGGCTCAAAGTGGCTATAAAATAGAGACATATGAACTGGAGCATTTGAATGAGGTGATGTTCATTCATTCATTTTTGGTTGAGTTGCTCACCATATAAGTGAAACTACATCTCAGTTTCCTCTCCTGCCAATGATACAGCACACCCTCTGTCTGTCTTACCTCTCTGAACTGTTAATAGATTGATATAATAATGAAATGGCTTTTGTAAACCAGCTACAGGTGGGCTAAACATGGAAATTACTGGACAATGTTATCCCAACTAGCAAAGCCCACCCAGGTCCAAATACCTAGGGTTGGGAGTATTAATCTTCATATGCAGCTTAGATGACAGTGTTTATGCAGAGAAGGTTGAAGCAAAGCAGGGCATGGGACATGTGATCAGAGATCAATGCTTGCACAAGTGTCTTTAAAGGTGTGCATTGTTCCCGCTTAGGAAATCATCTTGCACACACAACTAGAATAAGGAAAAACACAATTCAGGAGATTTTACAGCAAACAACGAAAAGTAGCAATAGAGGTGTGGAGGGAAGGAGCAAGCAGGCAAGGTGTTTGGAGTTTATACTTGACTATGGCTTTCCACTTCTTGTTATTAGACCTAATATTTCAAGGTTTGGCATGTGTCACAGAATAACCTGCTACTGACTACAATCTAAAACATCCAGGTTCCCCTGTCCCAGCCCTGTCTGGTGCTTTGAGAGAGAAATCAGTCTCTTTTCCTTGTGTGCAGAGGGCCAGCAGTCTCCATGGAAGATTTCTGTTTTTAGAACCGATGATAAATGTGTGTGAGGGATCCCGTTAGGCTGGGAATTCCTTTGAAATTCACATTTCTCTTTCTCTCAGTTGTCCATAGATAGATCCTGGCCACATTTGGGTATGAAAGCTCTTCAGCCTGACTCCCCCTTGAGAGTCATGTTCTTTTTTGAAAGGAGCTTTTTTTTTTTTTTTTTTTTTTTTTTTTTAAAGGGGGTTTTTTTTTTTTTTTTTTTTTTTTTTTGGCGAAGGCTGTTTTTTCACTCAGAATAAGAATATTCCCCAGCAGTGAGGGCATTGAAGTAACAGGATCCGTATGTTGAGGCGGACAGCTAATGCTCAACATATGGCCCATGAACTTTGCAGACAGCAGTGTGCCTCTGCTTTTAGACAATGCCCTGGACACTCTGCAAAAGGAATGGTGCTCAGGTGAGTCATGGTGGAGGCACAGCTTTTGGACTTCAAAGTACTGTCCGTACCATGAAGTGTGAGCTAGCAAAAACAATGGGAAAGGTTCTGGCCGGCCTTCAGATTCATAGCTTTGTCCTGTAGCCTTCTCTGTGAGGCCCCAAGCTCTCAAACTAGCAAAGGGGCTTAACCCTGGGCTTTCTATACTCCCCAAGAAATGGCCTTGCAAAGGGCTGTCACTCAGCATGCCCAGATGGTTTCTTACATTCAATGCAAATGTCTTCCCTTTTCGTGAAGATTAAACTGCAAAGTGAGTCAGAGCTTAGAGAGCAAGGAGGCCTGGGCTCCACAGCAGGGACCTGCAACTAGAAATGACTGTACGGACATCACTTCATTGTTCTTCCCTGTCTGGAAAGTGAAGAGGCAGGGCATGGACATCTCTGAGACCCCTTCCAAATGTCACAGTGTGAAACTGAACAGAACCTATGTCCAGCTAGAGAGGATGAAGAAAGCAACCCCAGCTGGTTGCATCTGGATCAGTGAACTCCTACCTGGCCAGCATCATGTCCCAGTGCAGCTGTGTGTACCAAAGGCTATGCACAGAAAGGTTGAGGCCACATGGGGAGGACAATTTCTTGGGTAAGAATTAAACTCTGATCCCCAGACTGGTTGGCAACAGCCAGGTGGAGGTGACAGTGCCCCCTAAATTATTTTACTATTTCCTCCAGTTCAGTATTTGAATGTGCCCAAGCTTAGCCTCTTATCCATAGAGGAGCACTCAGCCCCCTCTCCTCCCTCCTTGACCCTGAACCTTTTACCTTATCCCTTTCTTCCTTCCATTTTTTCCTCCATGCTGCCTCCACTTCACCCCTTTCCCTCCATAGCTTCTGCTGAATTTCTCTGGACCTGCCTTGTCAGGATGGTTAGGAGAACAGAACCCTCAAAACTCTGCATCCCCCCACCCAGTGCACTCCCTTTCCAGCCCCAGGCAGGCCCTTTGATCCCTGTATTCTGCTGAGCACAACTGTGGTCTCTTGTCTCATGAGCCCATACTCAGAGCTGCAGCACCAGCCCTGCCTGCAAGCTGGTCACCATGGCAACGAGCTTCCCCTCCATTATACTGTGAAGAGAAAATGGCTGTTGGAAGGAAGAGCTCAGAGTCTCTATGACCCAGTCTGTTTTTTTTTTTTTGGGGGGGGGGGCTGTGCTTGCTTCTTAATGACTCTGAGGAGCTCCCTCCACAGAACCCAATGTGTACTAGCCTTCGCCTTTCAGATTAGCTTAAAGCTAGCAGAGGCAGAAGGAAGTTGATTTCAAATGAATAAAGCATTTCTGTTTTTCTATCCTAAAACTGCGTTTTCGTGAACAGTTGTTATCTGCTCTAAGGAGATAAACGAGAAGCAGAGTGAAGCAGACATTGATGAGATCTGGTGTTATGTATTTTTTTTTTCTTATCAGTGCCATGGGGAGACTGAGCGTATGGATATTCAAATAAAAATTCAGGGAAAGTAGCCAAGGGATGCAAAGAATTCCACAAAGCATAGGCTGTGGACTTCAGCAGCACAGTAGACTGATTGGCATACTGATGTTATTTCTAGCTCTGGAGATAAGCATGATGGTTATATGTTTCAGGGTGAGACAGACTCTCATCAGCTCCCCTGCTTCAGGATGGATCTGATTCACATTTATCAAGCATGGTAGCATAGGGAATGTGCAAGCTATCCCTATGCATAGTTCTGGGGTGACAAGCAGACTGCTCTTAACATCCCTAGAGACACTCCAGACTGACACCCAAAAGGAACTGGCTAGCTGCCTCTTTCTATGAATACAAAGCATAGTTGTTTAGTCAGTTGCCCAGAGGACCTTTCCACTCATGACAGCAGATAGCAGTGCCATGTAGGAGTCAGCTGGGCTGTGTCTACTTCTGGCTACCTTGTAAAGTCACTTTGATAGTGGCAAGTTCTCAGAAGCCAAATAAACCTTGCAGTCTTTTTAAAGCTGAGTTTGAAAAATCCCATTTTTTGAGTGAAAGCTGTGGGATTTGATCTCAAAATTTTAAAGGTGTGTTTGAACTCAACTATTTCCTTTTTTTTCAGTTGCTCTGCAAGTGGATATTGTTCCCAGCCAAGGAGAAATCAGCGTTGGAGAGTCCAAATTCTTCCTGTGTCAAGGCAAGTGCCCCGGGTCTGGGTCCCATCACATCCCAAAGCTTGCCTCCAAAACCTATTGCTCAGATCAGAATCTGGGAGTGCCAAGCCTAGAATTCTAGCCACCGATCCCCTCTTGGTCAGTAGTGTAACCATTTCATACCATTATCAGAGATTTTCTCTTTATAATGACATACCATCTGTGTTTCTGCTTGACACTGGAACATCTCAAAGGGGTTTGTAGGAAACCAGCATGCACCCCAGAGAGTGAATTATCACAGGTCTTGTATCTTATCTATAGGCACAGTTCTGGAATGCAGCATGAACTTAGAATGAATGCTTCCATAAATCAGGCTAAAGTTAATTTCTTAGAATAAGCCAGACCTCAAAAATCCAAGGTCTTAAAAGTGCATTGAATACGAATGGCACCAGTTGTGAAGACACATGTCTTGGTTTTCCCCGACTGTTCCACATACCCAATACATTCTGTCCATCAGCAGCACCACCACACATGTGCACAACTCCAGGACATGTTGGGGCTGTTATTCTTATTTCTTCCTTAGGAAATATACCCCTGATCATAATCTGAAAACATCCAGGGGAGCAAATCATGTGGAATTAGGCTTCAGGGCATTTGTAAATGACATGCCTGGGATTTGGAATGTAACAGAAACAGGAATGAACTGAACTAAGTGTGAGCTGTGGCATTTAACAAGCAGCTTTGGGTGGGGAAGGAACTTTCACTGCCACCATGATTTGCATCTCATCAGAGGGCTGTGGCCGATGGGAACATTTGCTCCAGCTCTGCTGTCATTAGTGCAGTTTCAATGATCTGAAGATACAGCCTTAGTGCCCACAGCACATTTTGCAAACTGCGGTATTTATTGAAAACATGATGAGCCCCAAAAGGAAGATGGCATTTCTGTACCAAGCATTTGCACAGGGCTGGCAGTACAGGCTGGTTCCCCCCATACAGGTAGTAGTACAAAGACAGAGCGCTGGCTTGGAGATCCCTTCACCCTGAACCAGACTGGCTCTTAGGCAGCTGAGCAATAGTAGTGCCCTTCACAAGTGCCCAGAGAGAGGAGGCATGTTCTGTCTCCCCAGAGCTTGTAAGGGTTTGACTGGTGCAGCAGGCATCAGAATGTCATTCATACAGTTGCTACAGTCAAAATGGCTGGAATTTTAACTATTGAATCACCCAGTTTCTCTTATCTTCAACTCAGAAGATGACTAGTCTCCACACTCTACATCCTGATCAATTGGTTCAAGCCAACTAGGTCCTGGAGCTCAGGGCTCAGATAAACTAAGCCCCTTTATTTCCCATTCTGTAAGACACATTCATTCCTAGCTGAGTGCATGGGACACAGTGGGTTCACAGCAAATATTGTCCCTCCCCAAAGATAGGACCAGTAAAGAACATCATAGGCACAGTCACAGTCAACTGGTGAGTTCTTTCAACTCTAAGAGATGTTATTATATAATTAAACAGACACACAGCAGAGCTGCAGAATGCTTGATGATGGAGATCCCTTTCCAGCCTTCTAGTCTTTGCCACCAGGAGCTTGTGCTTGGTAGCCCTTACGCTCTGGCAGGGCTTAATCTTCTCATTTTCTGTGCTCTGAAAATAATCTCTTCATCCTTAGTGGCAGGAGAAGCCAAAGATAAGGACATCTCGTGGTTCTCCCCGAATGGAGAAAAGCTGAGCCCGAACCAGCAGCGGATCTCAGTGGTATGGAATGATGACGACTCCTCTACACTCACCATCTACAATGCCAATATCGACGATGCTGGCATTTACAAGTGTGTGGTCACAGGAGAGGATGGCACCCAGTCCGAGGCCACTGTCAATGTGAAGATCTTCCGTAAGAGCCCTTACATGTACTTTCCACTCCCACCTTTGTTAGAAAGATACTTGGGTGGGTAGCAAAAGCAGAGACATGGTAACAGAAGGACCAGTAAGGGCCTAGTAGTCCCTTTTCTGTCCCTGAGTTGCTAAGAATTCTGGTACATTCTCAAATGGTCTATGGTCAGCCCAGAACTCATACGGCTGGTTTCTACCAGTCTTACGAATCTACATTCCTACTGTCTTCCATTCTCCAGAAACTACACAGTTCCTAGAGGGCTATCATGGGTTCTTCCATGACTTGTGACAATGACAGACATAGGGTTCAGGTTTCCCCTTTTTATTCCATTACAATTGCTAGTGATACAGCCCAATGACCTAGTGAGATGGAGTATTGTGTATGAATGCTTGATGCTGCTCATAAAAGGTAGTTCCCATTGCCACTGAAAGCCAGCCTAGCAGTAACATCTCATTGCCTTATTACTATAATACTATAGTGTTGGCTCAAGTCATGATAGATGACAGCTAGTAGATAGATGTTGATTATCATGGCATTATTGCCATTCATTCTTCAGAATTGTCTCTGCTGTAAGGAAGTTGGGGTGGGGTCAGAGTGGAAGACCAAAATATAACCACTGACCCTCACAGTCATTGTAGGATAGACCCCTCTTAATGCTAGCTGCTCTCCCTCCATCAAAGACCCACTGCTGAGATGAGCAGGAGGCCCTCCGATACCACTGTATTATGGGTAGAAACTGGCCTGGGATGAAATCCAAGCAGAATAGTTCTAGTGAGAAGGTATGTTTCCTCACTCTTCTCCTGCTGTCTTTCAGAGAAGCTCATGTTCAAGAATGCACCAACCCCGCAGGAGTTCAAGGAAGGGGAAGATGCGGTGATTGTGTGTGATGTGGTCAGCTCTCTGCCCCCAACCATCATCTGGAAACACAAAGGCCGAGATGTCATCCTGAAAAAAGATGGTAAGACCTGGGTTCCCATGAGCCACTAGGTCTCCAAGATTTCTACCCCTACCCAGTCCCTGAGGCATTCCATCTAAACACAGATTCAGAGGCTCAGAACCCACATGTAATTTCTGGGTCCCAAACAGATGTGTATCTGTAACTGGTATGTTTGGACAACTGGTTGTATCTCCGGAGCAAAAGACACATTCCTAGTAGACTTGATCTCAGCTGTATTTCAGGGCCAGGGGTGACTTTTCTGATTTCAGCCTAAAACCTAACCCTGAGGATAAAAAGGACAAGATAACCAGCTTGTATCATGGGTCTGTAATCCCAGCCTGCAGAAACTGACACAGGGAATGGTTGCATGTTTGTGGCTAACCTGGGCTATATAGTGAGTTCCAGGCTACAATGGACTACATTGTGAAACTCTGCCTCACAAATAGCAAAACAGAAAACCAATAAAAGGCAAGAACAAGAGGCTCAGCTGCTTGCTTGCCTGATTGTGGAGTTCTGTGACTGACCTTGGATGAACCTGCCTCTTGTCTCTTTCAGTCCGATTCATAGTCCTGTCCAACAACTACCTGCAGATCCGGGGCATCAAGAAGACAGATGAGGGCACTTACCGCTGTGAGGGCAGAATCCTGGCCCGGGGGGAGATCAACTTCAAGGACATTCAGGTCATTGTGAATGGTGAGAAGATCTGTCTTTCCTGTTCTCTCCATTGCTACAAAGAGGGTTCCCCGGAGACTTTCTTTTCTAGTTCCTCTTGGGTGTAGACCTCTTCTGACTCATTTTTCCTCACTACCATAACCTCTGGGAGGGGACATTTTCACATTGGCAGTCTAGTTTTTGGTGTCTCCCCTCATTTATGGATATTAAATGTCCTTCATTGTCTTGCAGGACTATAAACTTTCCCCCTTCTACTGATAAATCCCTCTTCATCCCCAGTGTCCTTGATATTACCATCATTAGGAAGTTAGTCCCCTTAGTTTGATGGGCAGAGAAAATATTGCAATCAATTCAGGTCTCAGAATAGTCAACAACATGGTCCGTGGGCTTATTAATCTTAATTTGCAGTGTCAAATAAACACACCCGTAGCATCGATCTGACATTTGCAAGATGTTTACAGGAAATTATAATGTCAGTACTAAGAAAATAAGTAAATTGCATTTGAATTGTTTTGGTTATTGATATGTGTTTTCTTGCCAAACTCTCCCCCTCTCATTCCTTCAGTGGAAACACTTTGTGCACAAGGTTGTTTATGACAGTTGCAGAGAAATGTCACTCTGCTGAGTTGTTATCTTTCGGAAGCATACCGACCTGACATGCACCAGGAACTGCATTTTCTAGCTTTTGCCAGTATGGAGAACCTCCTTTTAACATGGAGTCCCACCAGTCCTCATACTTATATAGCATACATTGCTTAAGAAAAAAAAACATAGCAAATAGCCACTGTAAGTCAAATACCTCATGAACATGAGTTAAGAGGTAATATAGTGGCTGGACTCTTAAAAAAACAATAATGCATGTTTGTGGGAATTTTTTTTCAGTTTATATTATTTAGAATGTCATGTGAGGTTAGATCACTTACACTAATGCTATGGCTGTCCAGGTCTCTTAACCCCCCAGCTGATAACTCTGTGACCTGGTGACCCCCAAAATGCCTCTTCTCAAGACTATCAGGTACTTTTAAGTTGTGTACAACTACCCCTGACATGCTTCTTTCCTTCAGTACCACCCACCGTCCAGGCCAGACAGAGCATCGTGAATGCCACTGCCAACCTGGGCCAGTCTGTCACCCTGGTGTGTGATGCTGATGGCTTCCCAGAGCCTACCATGAGCTGGACAAAGTAAGAAACTGGCTGTGCCTTGTGTCATGGGTGGGAGGAGAAAGGGACCCATAGAACCCATTGTCTGTGGGTTTTTCAGTGGCATGAGTATGGACTTTCTAAAATATCAGATTGAGGAATGGTTCTTTTCTGGGGAGTTCTCTTGCCCTGTGCCTTTGGTTATTGTTCCATTTTTCAGTCTTGTGGGGGCAGGTCCAGAGGGTGTGGCTTGTGGAGCTGATTCTTTGTGTTTATGAGTGCTGTTGACAGACTTTGCATAGGCTCCAAAGACTGGGGACAGTCTTAAAAGCATATAACAGTAAAAGCTACTCAAAGGTTTTCCCCCTTTATGTAGACTGAGCCTGTCCCATCTGTGCAGACTGCATGCTGTGAAAATGGATTGGAAACGAACCTCTTAATTCCATTCTCAGACTCATCACCCTTTGCATTGTGTAGGGATGGGGAACCCATAGAAATTGAGGAGGAAGATGATGAGAAGCACGTCTTCAGCGACGACAGTTCTGAGCTGACCATCAGGAACGTGGACAAAAACGATGAGGCTGAGTACGTCTGCATTGCTGAGAACAAGGCTGGCGAGCAGGATGCATCCATCCATCTCAAGGTCTTTGGTAGGTACAGTTCAGTGCTCATCAGGGTCACTGTTCAGCCACAATTCCTCCTACTCTGTACACTCTGTCAGAAATGCATGCCCACACTACTGTGGCATGCACCCAAAAGACAACCATTTGCTGCCTGCTCTGACACCCAATCCTTAGTCCAGGAAACCATTCAGTAGCACACAGCCTTCTAACTGGTCCCCTTGCTTCCCACCTTGGCTCCCCTCGGTCTCTTCTATTCATGGTAGCCAGAATGGCCTCCATGGCAATCCTCTTCTCAAGGTTCCAGTTGCAGCTGAAGTAAAGTCCAGACTAATCCCATGGCCCAATGTATCCTTAACTCCAGCTTTTCCTCCATCTGCTCCATGGAGAAAGCTCTGCAACCACACCAGCCTTCTTTCTGTCTCTGCTCACACCAAGCTAATCCCCTGTCTCAGTGTCCCGACTCAGCGACATTACTTTAGAGGCTATTCCGATTCAGTTATCATTGCCTAAAACAGGCCTGCTCTGAGTGGCCTTCTTGTTGTCCTCATGCAGACCTCAGCTCAAGCACATTTCCATGAAGCCTTCCTCCCCTCCTCTCTGCTTTTGCCTCTCCCCATCCAAGCTACCAACCTACTGACCACCTTCAGGACTCGATGTGTCTTCATGCACCTAACAATTCCTGAGCTAATCCTCTTGACATGTTTGATGGGGCATGATTTATCTCCAGTCTCCATTAGCATTCAAAGTTCACTGCCAGAGCGCTAGCTGTCTCATACATTGCTTTATCCCTGGTTTTTCTTTTTTTAATTAAGTTTTATTTATTTTACATACCATCCATAGTTTCCCCTCCCTCCTCTCCTCCTGCTCCCTCTACCTCCTTTCTATACCCCCCCCCATGCACACATCAGAAAGGGTAAGGCCTCCCATGAGAGTCAACAAAGCTTGGTATGTCAAGTTGAGGCAGGACCAAGATCCTCCCTACTGTGTCAAGGCTGAGCAAGGCATCCCCCGCATAGGGAATATGTTCCAAAAGCTAGCTCATGCACTAGGGACAAATCCTGGTCCCACTGCTAGGGTCCACACAAATAGACTAAGCTACACAACTCTCACCCACATGCAGAGTACCTAGGTCAGTCCCATGCAGCCTCCCTGGTCCGAGCTCCAGGAGTCCAGTTGAAGAGAGGAAGAAAGGATTATATGAGCAAAGGGGGTCAAGATCATGGCAGGGGAAACCCACAGAGACAGCTGACCTGAACTCGTGGGAGCTCCCAGACTATCCCTGGTTTTCAAACAACTCCAGACTCACAATACCTTAGTAAATATCAGTGCCTGACAGGTTGTCTCACGTTTCTTTCTTCTTTTGCATCCTTTACTGGCCTGTGTGTCATAGAAAGTCACAGAAAAAAGCTATCATATCTCCATCTTCTTTGTCCCTATAATTTGGCAAACTTCCAGGCATTTCAGAATTGAAATGCATTTTTAGCATGCTTGTGCAAAAAACGATTTGTTGCAAAGAAGGTAAGGCTCTCGAAGATGCCTATCTGTCAAAAAGCACAGTTAAACCACTGCACTGCAGACCATACCGGTGAGCACGAGGCCAGAGAGGCCTCTCTGGTACCTATCCCTCTCAGGTAGTTAAAATGTGCACATACCCAATGCTAGGACCTGCTTATTTAGTCTGATGGGGAGAACTGTCTAAACACACTGTTGGAAATCACTGATGAGTCTCCTCTGTTTGTTGATGACAACTAGGTCTACAAATAGGTCATGGGAAGGAACACTAAACTTCATGAAAGACATGTCTGTATGTGTGTGCATGTGTTGTGTACATATGTGTGTGCACCTGCATGTATCTGTCCATGGGGATGGAAACCAAAGGTCAACCTTGGGTTTCATTCCTCGGGTACTGTCCACCTTGTTGGGGAGACAGGGTTCTCATTAAGCTGCTGCTTGCTAATTTGGCTAGGCTCTGGGGATCTGTCTGTCTTTAACTCCCCAGATGCTGGGATTACATATAGCGGACTGTGCCCACGTTTCTTGTTTGTTTTATATGGATCTGAGGATCAAAATAGATCCTCGAATTTGCAAAGCCCACGACAACAAAAATTCTTCATGGTGTTTTCTCTCCACTTCAAATTAATCCACTTCTTCCCATCATTCTGTTTTCTAGATTATAGAGGAGGGCAGGTGCATTTGTTAATTTATCCCTTCATTTGAGGTGCCTTTGCAGCTAGATAGAATGGCTAGAGAGATCAGTAGAATTGGACTCCAAGAAGCACAAAGTTAGAGATAAACATAAACATACACAAGAGAATAGATAGTGTCAATCAGCAGTATCCATTTGAGTGTTTACTGTGAATCCGGCCATTGCCAGGTTTAAAATAAAACATCATGGAGTCTCTTGTCATCAGTAGACTCACAGGCACATGTAGATGTCCAGCGCTGACATTTTAAATGACAGCCCCCTATACTGACTCCATAGCAACAGTGTAGTGGTGTTTTATAGAAAAAGACTTCCTATCCTCTCTGGCATAGGTTAGTCATCAAAGTGATACACTGCTTCATTTTGAATGGTGGGACAAGCGCTTCAGGCACTACTTGGAAAACACATGCTGTGTTGCGTGTGGGCTGCCGTGGACAGGAACTCTGCCTGGTTGGTTGATTTACACATATGCCTCCAGCACCTAGGACAGTTGGCAGGAGCAGTTGAGTAATTGAAGGAATGGCCGTTAGTTCACATGACTGAAGGATGACCCATTGCAATAGGGAGATGATCCTGAGATAAACTTGTCCACTCTTGTCTCTGAGGAACCTTTAAAAGCACTATTCCAATAAAGCAATACCCATCATAGAAGGAGAATTTATTCCACGCCATACCACACAACCACAAATTAGGCTCTGCTCTCCTCATCACAGCCCCTTGAGGTAGATGCGGTTATTGCCCTGTTTTACAAATGAGCTCTAGTTTACAGAGAGCTCAGGTGCTACTCATAAGGAACCACAATTCAAAGCAAAACAATGGCTTCTGGATCCACACCAGGAAAGCAGTGATGGCTGCATTGCCATGCAAAGGGTCAGCACCTGTGCTAAATCTGCACCGGTAGGAAATGCATAGAAATATGAGAGACAGTGTGCTGTTTCTGGACCACAATGCTGCTCAAAGGTCTCTGCATGCTTTCTATTTGCAAGTCCTTTTTACCTGAGACATTTTTAAAAAGCCTTATTTTAAAATTATGGTTTGGGAATACATATACTTTTCCATTTATTTAAAACCAAAGCACATTTGCATACCAATGAGGTGGGCATGCTTGTTTATTTAATAAAGAATTAAATCTTGGCTGAATATTTGATATTACCAAATACAGAATGTCTTCAATGTTCCTCAGTGTTGCTTGATGTTTTTGTTTATAATCATCAAGGCTGAGAACACCACTTTGCATAAATACACAGTACAAAATGGCAGACATTTGTTTAGGACCATTTCAAAAACTGTTGGAAATTCTGTCTCCAATCCCAAGCCAAAACTCATTGAATAATTTTTTTTCCCTGTGAAACTCAAGTCGGCAACTCAAACAGCAATTTTTAAAATCAAGCATTCTAACACAATACTATCCAAAGATACACTAATTTAATACTTACATGCTGAGGAATGATGGTAGGAAAATATTTGAAGTCATTGTTTTCCATAATTAAGCCATTATGTTTCTGTAAGAGCAGAAAACTTTTCATGTGTAGTAAAAACACCACAATTCATAACGTACAATGGTCTTGAATCTGAGCCCGAGGCTTTGCAGCCAGTGTTTGTTGGCATTGTGTGGTGGGATGGGCATGTACATGCTGAATGTTCAGAACCAAGGCTGCAGTGAAGTCACACAATACAACATGGGCAAACCCTGCCAGGAGCAACTTAGATTCACTGTGCATTCGATTTTGAATTAATTTCTGGTCTTTTCATGTCCAGAAACACTTTAGAATTGCCAAACTTTTTTGTAACTTCTGCCTTTCGATCATGTAACTCCATAGGGTCATAACCCAGCATTTAAGAAGCTGCTGTGTGGACCATACTCAGCTCTCTCGTGGATGGCTGAGAACAGCTCTTGTTCCTCTTCCAGAGCCCTTTGGTGGCAATGATTGACTCGGGGCAGGAAGGAGAGGTAGCAAATTAGGAGTCATGTAAGGCCAGGGGAGAATGAACAGAATGGATAAGTCCAGGGGAAGTGGTAAGGAAAATAGAAATTAGGATGGAGAACAGGCAAGACAGGGTTTCCCCAGTCTTTGTCCAGAATGAATACAATCATCCCTACACCCCTACACCTCTGTGTATCTGCATCTACACACACACACACACACACACACACACACACACACACACACACACACACACCACAATTTCTTTCCCGAGACTGATGGGTATTCTCTAGACAGCACAGTGGGGCAAGCAGAGGAGAGGTGCCTGGGCTCTTAGAGAGGTCAGCAAGGAAATGATGCACCTGCAACAGGTGTGTAAAATCCAGAATCCGAATCCTCTGCAATGCTGCAAGTAAAGCTCATTCAGCTTTCTTGAACTCCTATCTCTCTCCTTTCTGCCTGCTAATCCCTCTTTCCCTCCTCCTTCTCTTGGTCTCCCCAGTTGGTTGAGGCAGCTAGTATGAGATCAAAGAGCCTGATGAAAAGGGGCCTGCTGGTTAAGGCATCTTTCTTTGCTCACTATCCTTTCTCTTTTATATTACTGCCATGGGAGATCCCTGAGGTAGATTGGGAAGGTTTGCTCTGCAGTAATGGTGTTGAAGGGGAACGAGACCTGCACCTTGGGCAGAAAAGAAAAGATCAAACCTCTGATGGCTTCAGAGAGGATGGCAGTCAGTATGTAAAGAACATGACGAAAGCAGAAACTGTTATTATTACTATAACTGAATGACCCCCCCCCATGATAGAGACCTGCTCTGGCATGTGTTGCCCTGGTTACCAGCTAAGGGCTCCTTTCCTTAAGTAGCTGCATTGTATGTTGGCTGGGAAGTTCCATCACTGCCCTCTGTGAGTCCTGCTGAAAAGTTCTCTGCAGGTAATTATGCCTGTGCTAATGATCTTGATGTCACCTGATGCCATGAGTTGAAGCAAGTTCAGTGATAGCAGAAGCCTTGGTTACCTGACTCCTGTGACTAAAGCAAAACTCGTGGGTGATGACAAGAGGCCACTGGGGGCTGAAGGAGAGTCTCAGGGTCTCCTTGGACTAGGCTCTCAGAAACTGTTGGCACTGGAGCAGACATGGCTGTTGCTGAGTGGCAAAATGCAGAGCAGTGGACTAGTACTCGTGGGATAGAGAGGAGGGTGATGGTTTCAATGAGAAATGCTCCCCATGGACTCAGGCATTTGGACACTTGGTCCCAGTTGTTGGCACTGTTTAGGGGAAGGAGCAGGATTTGAGTATATATAGCCTTACCTCGCTTCCAGTTGTCTTTGCTTGGTTCAAAATATGAGCTTTCAACTTTTTGCTCCTGCTACTCTGCCTAATGCTTCTGTTATGAGTTCACCCTGAGGTACTACATCCCTCTGGAACCATAAGCCAAAACAAAATCTTTCTTCTATAAATTGTCTTTGTCTGGCCAGGCATTGATGGTGCACACCTTTAATCCCAGCACTAGGGAGGTAGAGGCAGTCGGATCTACAGAGCGAGTGCCAGGATAGGCTCCAAAGCTACACAGAGAAACCCTGTCTCGAAAAACCAAATAAATAAATAAATTAACTGATTAATTAATTAATTAATTAATTGTCTTGGTCCTGGTGTTTTATCACAGCCACAGAACGTAGCTCATACAAGGAGAGCAACCATTGGAAGCACTGGGTCTCAGGGAGGCAGAGAGGCAGCAAAAGGATGATGTAAACTCCAGGGCTCAAGCAGGACCGTGAGAAGATGAAACTTGGAGAGGTCCCTCCTGGTGCTAACATGCAGAGGGAAGGAATCTTTTACAAGCAAGAGACATTCTGTATATGTCCCTTTTGCCCAATAGTGTTTTCTGTTTCCATATAATTATTTAGAACATCCTTGTTGTGTTTATTTTCTGTTGCTTAGATAGAATCCTCAGGTAAAAAAAAAAAAAAGCAACTTAGAGGAGAAAGGGCCTTATTTTGGCTTACAGTTCCAAAGTGGACATGCTCCATCGTGATTGGGAAGACATGACATCAGAAGCACAAGGCCAGCCTCGCAATCAGGAAGCAGAGAGATCACACTTCATCTACACACAGGAAACAAACAGGGAACAGGAAGTGGGGTCAGGCTGTAAAAATCTCTGCCCCCCAGTCATGTACTTCCTCCAGCAAAGCTCTACTTCCTAAAACTGCCATAACTTTCACAAAGAGCACCACCAACAGGGGCCATGTGTTCAAACCTGTGAGCCTCTGGGGGCATTTTCTAAACCTCAACACCTGGATGGCTCTGCCTTCCTCTAGCGCTGACAATAGTACTGTTTTCAGGGACAGAGGATGGAATCTTCCCTCCCATAACTGTAGCCTATACAGAATTAATCTTTGGTAGCAATGTGTTGCTGGCCCATGTTTTTATTCCTAGCACCTTGGAAAGCAAAGGCAAGTGGATCTCTGTGAGTCTGAGACCATACTGGTCTTATACCAAATTATAGGCTCTCCAGAACTGTATAGTGAGTCTCTCTAAAAACAAAATAAGAAAAGCAAAACAAAACAAACAAAAAAACCCAGCTGTGTTCAATAAGAGTGCAGAAGAATGTGGCTTCCCTTTTTCTAAACACTTGTAGAATATAATCTTGTAGCCATCTAGGAGATAGGGACACACAAACCAAATGTTAATAGATGTTACCTGACCCTTCCTCTGATACTTTTTCTCTGATACAAAGACAAAGTGCTGAGGGCCAGGAAAAGGTCAAACACACCGTCTAAGTCTCAGACGCTTAAGTTTCAGTTTCCAGAATTTCGGCCATTGTACAACCAGCTAGCTCCAGCCCCCAAGTCACTGTTTAGAGAATCTGTGTGGGGGATTTTCTTTTCTCTTTTGTTTGTTTTGCTTTGTTTTTAAAGACAGACTCTCTGTTTAGTCCTGGCTGTCCTAGCACTCTCTATAAGACCAGACTGGCTTCAAAATCACAGAGATCCACCTGCCTCTGCCTCCCCAGGGCTGGGATTATCTGTTGTTCTCTTATGTCTGTTGTCCCTTTCCTTTTCATTTGGTCACTTTGGTAGCCTAGAAATTCAACTCCTGTTTCATCTTAATTCTTACTTTACCCTCTAAAAGTTACTATTTGATACTAGTGAACCTTCATTGCATATGATGTAAGTTGTGACCTCCTGCAAGACATCTTTATTAAGGTAAAACATAAAGTCTTCCTATAGGAAGCTTCAGCTAGAGCTCATGGATTCCATCATCTCTTCATCATTTGCCCATACAGGATTAATGTTTGTCCATGTGCCAGCCATGAGAAAATAATTTGTTAAGTGTCCTGTGGGTGATGTTAAGACGCCATGTGAACTATTTAGGTGATTTTTGTCTGGAACCAGACATTTGTCACTGATTTCAGTTTACTGATGCATCATGGAGGTTTTCACTATAGATCTTCTCAGGCCACATTTTCTTGGCTGACTTGCAGTTACTATGAATTTGAGTAGAAAAGAAATGTTGTGATTTCAAAAGCTACCTGCCATTCTGGCTTTGTGTCTTTTTTTTTTTTTTACCCGGCCTTTCTCTCTAGTAGTGAAACAAGTTATTTGTGCAGCCTTATCTTTTCTCTTCTATGGAAGGTTCAGCAATTTCTGGGTATAATTGTTTTAAATTAGGAAAATTCAATTTTCTCTAATGTTCTCACATTTAACTCAGCTTTGGAAGGTGTGTGTTCTTTGCATTACTTGTAACATTTGGAAAAGAAACCCAATTCAGCCTCTCTCCTCCCTGTCCTAAGCCTATCATGAAGCACATAACCAAAGCTTCCACCTTCACGTTTTTCTACTTTAGAATTCCCCCTAAACTAATCCTCTTGGGGTTCAGTGACCACTCCATGCTCCAGCAAAACTCCACTCATGAGCTTCTCTGGCTTATGGGTAAAATCCCAGCTGCTGAACCTTGTCCTCTTGTCCCATGAAACACTCCCTGTATCCCTCCCTCTCTCCACTCCTACCTACCCCTCTATCTCCTTTTTCTCCTTTTATTTCCTTCAAGAATTTTTCTGAGCGTAGAATTATTCCATTCCACCCAAGTTTGCACCTGATGAAAACCTTATGGCCCAGCCCTAAAGCCTTCTCCATGTGAAGGCTTGAGCCAATGTAGCACTCTTCTGAAGGAAGCCTCGAGCACCTTATTGTCTGTATATTCTAAAGTCTCTTTCTCTGACTGCCATTTCAATGATGGCAGAGCCTATAGTGGCTCATTTCGGTGTCTGTTACTGTACCTAGAATTAAGCCTTATATTTAGTAAATAAGAACCCTTTTTATATGGGTACATATTATCACTAAACCCCAAAGAGCGAAATAATCAGATAAACTAATCGAATTATTATTTATTTATTTTTTTTTTTGCTTTTCAGCAAAGCCCAAAATCACCTATGTAGAGAATCAAACAGCCATGGAACTAGAGGAACAAGTTACTCTTACTTGTGAAGCCTCAGGAGACCCCATCCCCTCTATCACCTGGAGAACTTCCACCCGAAACATCAGCAGTGAAGAAAAGGTACAATGTCGCCCAAGAGTTTCAGGGCTATGGGGTGCAGACTTGAAACACCTCAAGTCTACCCAGGCCCAGTTCTCTTTGGCACGTGGCAAGATGGAATGTGGTTATTGGTAGCCACGGTAGGTCCTGCAGCCTCCCTCCTCCAACCTGCCTGGTTGTTACTCAACATCCTCTCACGGTGGGATGGGGCATGTTGATGGTGGGCGTGGTCAAGCTAGATGTTTGGGGAAGAGGCAATAGTGAATTTCTGACCCAGGCTTGTGGAGCTGTGAGGACCCAGGACAAGCAAGATTCTGAGGCATCAGATGATATTGTCATTAGCTCAGACACACCCAGAAAAGTGTCTCCCAGAAACAACAGAGATCAGGATGAGTCCATTAATTCTCTTCCTTACGTCTCATATACTCATGCTGTATGCACTCTGTGCACAAAAGCTTGGTTGCCTTTGTGTCTGCCTGTATTCTTGGTCACATTTGGATTCCATTTTGTTCTAAAGGCAAAAATAATTAGCAGTTTCTAGATGATGAAACTTATACCCGGGTTCTGAATGTACTCATCAAAGTTTAATAATGGGGTAGTAACTCCTTGGCAAGTTAAAATGGCTGAGAACATTTAGCTCTAAAGTACATGGATCTGTAGGCCATTGGAAAATGGTCTTTCTTACTGGTACTATATAAATATTGGGGTGACAACCCCACATCATGCAGCCCTTTGCTACTTAGTGGGCAAAAAAAAAAAAAAGAAGAAGAAGAAGAAAGGGCTAAGTTGCAAAGCAGTGTAGATATCATTAGGACAATCAACATGGTAGAACACAGTAGAACACATGGCCCTAAATAGCCCTACATTCAATCTGAGGCAGTATATAAAGGGAAAAATAATGGTTTTATGGCACCTCTCCAGTATTATTTTGCATCTCCTGTAATAGATTTTTAGTTGGCCAAAGCTTGGTTACCTATACAGGAGTAATAGCCATAGCTGTAAAGAGTATGTATAATGGATTGCCTATTGACCAGAATGTCAAGAATGATAGATATGCACTCTTCTGCCATGCTCAAAAATCTCTAGAAACACACTGAAATAAAGCCAAAGGGAGAATACTAAGCACCAGGGCTAAAAGTAGAATTTGCATTTGAGGAACTGATCGCTACCTCAGAGACAGAAAACAAAACAAAACCTAAAGGAACCGAAAGCTCTGTTCCAAATACCCCATTCCTCTCTTTGCAAGTTTTATACCCAGAGTTGAATCCAACTTAACAGAAACTCAACTGAGGAACTGCTAAATATTTTTGAAGCTCACATATGCTGTTTGATCTGCAAAAGCCAGCTAAATTACGAAGTTGGGTGTTCAATAATTTCTTTATAAATACTGGAATTAAATTCCCAGCTAGGATTTCAGCTTCCTTTGTGTGTTACATGGACCCAATGTATATTTAGGGCTTCATCTACCAGACACTGCTTGGCCGGTCTTTCTATATTAGATTTCAAAGTAGAATTGTCCAAGTGACCCAGTATGTATCTCTGACCTACAGTGAAGGACAAAACATCTATTTCAGATGAATGACATTTTTAAGTTCTGTGTCTTTTCTAGAAATAGCTCAACAGTTAAACTAGACAAGAAGGATTATTAAGATTTGTGCCTACTTGGGGTTTGTCTTTAATAGGTTGGCACTTCTGCCTTGTACCTAAGATTTCATTTTTACAAAATGAAAATAAATAGCTAGGAACTAATATGCACTCATACTCCCTAAATATTGAGACTGAAGATATCATGAAAAACCATCTCAAGCCCAGATGGGACTGACTTTTTTAATAACTCAGTTTCCTTTATCGATCATCTGTCTTGATCTAAGATAACTGTTTAAGCCCAGCACAGATTAGATCACAGTTCCTTTTACTGCAGACTAGCTTCAGGTTTGCTTGAAGTGACATTAATGGACCCTGAGTCAGTCAATGTTAGAACAAGTCCTCCAGAAAGTTTCATCATGCTATCACATCGATGTATTTTCTTAAATAAAATCTTAGGTAAGAAAATTTTGTCACTTCTACTAACTAAATATTGGTATCAAAGAAGCTTGATGTCAATCTGAAACTGTAGATGTCTAGTAATGATGAATCATTGTCTGTCTGTGAGCAGGCTGAATCCTGGTCCAATCATTTTCACTATGGCAACCTCCCCTCACACTCTTTCCTACCTAAAGTTGCATTATATATAATTATGTGTTGAGATCATCAGCACCATTGAATTATAGGAGTGAAGTAAACTATTTATAAAATCAGGATGCTCAGCTTGGTAGATCACAAAGGTACCAGTTTATCTAATGAATGAAATAAATGCCCCTTCCCCCCTGTTAAGTTTCATAGAGCCACAGGATAAGAGATGGTTTTGGAAGAGTCTTTTGGGACTGTGTGGTTCTACCTGGCTCACTTTCTAGCATCCTTTCCAGGTCACTCTGGCTTGTGATAGTTACAGTATCACAAAGGGCTGTTTTCTTTTCCCTTTCTGCTACCTGGAACCCTCCACCTCTGCCACTCAGAATCTGAATCACTGAAATAAAAGCTGCAACTCTTCTCCCTTTAACAATCACACAGAATTTCCCAGTTTGTCATGTGTCATGATTTCTATATCCTTTACCCAGATAGTTGTCCTATAACTTGATAGCTTCAGATCACTAGCACTCAATAAAACCTTACTGTCCCCCTGTAACCTGAGTAGATCTCAGTGGGTTTGTCATCTTGATCTAGACACATCATGTAGTCAAAGTAGCATGAGCCCTTGAGTCACGACATATCATGGTCACCTAGAATATGTAGGTCTGTAATATGAATTACATTTAGGTGACTTATCTCCTGTTGCCTTCTCATGAAATTGATGGCTTAAGCATCAATGCAGAATTTTATATGTATTTCATTCATTCCAGCTTTGTTTCTCAGTCATGGTCATTTTTGGCCATTAAGGAAGACTCTCCCTTCACTGGGACTGTCCTATGCAGTGCAAGACATCTGCCATTTCTCACCACCCCAATACCAGTAGCCAATTGTAACCATTACTAAAACTCTCCCTGCCTGGAGAACTACTATTACAGACCATCCTGCTGTTGGGATTGTCTGTTCATGAGGGTTTTACTTACAAATCTGGAAGTTGGAGTATTTCTGCCCAGACTGTTCCCCTTATGCTGTATCTGCATGTTAAAAGTTAAAATGAGATAGGACAGTCAGTGGGAGCCCCATCACTGAGAATGATGTTCAAGTACAGGTAATTCAGCAGCTTTCCTGATGCAGCTGTCACCTAACATTTGTCTTAGCATGGCTTCCAAACTTATGTGAGTCCTAATAAGTCCTAAGTCACTGATGAAAATATTGACTGGGACAAGGTCTAAGTTCAGAGACCTCAGATTCCTTCTAAATCAGTGGCTCCAAAAGTGATGAGCTTAATGTCACAGTGCAATAGTGGTCTTCTGTAATTCTGGTAGCTTTTGTTGGAGGTTCGGGTTCCTTTAGTAAGGGCTATAAATGGATTAAAGCGGCTTTGCCTTTCACATCAATTGACTGACTATAGCACTGCCCTTCTCATTAGAAGAGAGGCAAGGGTTTCACCTACAGACATGAAGTGACTTGCTAATAGAATATCAGAATTGTTCCTCCTTATAAAGGAAAGAAGGAATGAATTCAAAATGAGTATAGTCATGGCATTCACTTGATTGTGTCTCTGGACTGGGTCTCATCTTTGTTGGAGAAAGTCTCATCAATCCATTAAGCATCAGCAAGTAGAGTTGGTTTAGGTTAGCAACTATTAATAGTGAAGATGAGTGTGATTGTTTGGATGATTAACATCAGTTATCCATATGTTGATCTATTCCTTAGCAATCAGTGTTATCCCGAGAAAAAGGGAAAAGTGAATAACATTGTGGGTTACTTTTCACACGTGTGTGAAGGTGTTTGTGATACTTTAGAAGATTATGTATCTGTGTCATGTCATTCCTCATCCTATACAGACTCATCATAAATATCCCCAGGTGTTTGAGTGTCGCTAATTCCAGGCACCATTTACATATTGAGTGAGACCTGGGGATTATGATCTGCATACTTGATCTCTGGCATAAAAAAAGACATCCATCATTTGCTATTTGAATGTTTCTATGCCTTGAGATAACTCTGAAGAGGGGTGTGTGAGTCCTTCACTGTTAAGGAAAAAGAAGGGTGAGGAGCTGAGTTCAGAACAGAGTGTCTGCAGATAAGAGAGACCTTTTCAGATTCTGATTTCTTTCGAAGCCCAACCTTTCTTTTCACTAGGGAGAGTCCCTGATTGGGTACAAGCTCAGTGCCCACTTTTAAACATCAGGAAATGTTTTGCATAGAGTGATCAGAGCCTGATCTAAGATTTGGGTGAATGTATATACAGAATGCTTAATATGAGTATAGAAGAGCTTTGCTATACATATAAACTACTATATATACAAAACTATATATAACTATATGCATATATATAATAACAAAAATAAGTATTGAGACAAACAAAAACTAACAACATTTGGAGCAGATTAATCATAGCCTAATTTGTTTCCTAAGTATATAGATTTGACTATCAGATTGCCGTGAAGTGGGCCAAACCTTTACCAAATTGTTGGACCCAAGACAGAAATTTGCTACATTTCACCAGGCACAAAGGGAAGAATCAGGCTACTAGAAACTTGTGTCCCTAGCAATAGCCTATTTTAAAAGCCATAGAACACTAGCAGTTTTGGATTGAGAAAAAATAAAAGTCTTGATGACACAGCCCTGGCATGTGACAAACAAGCTTTCTAGTATGTAGAATTGTCAACTATAGCTGACATGTTGGCCCACTGTGACTTTGGTCTATGCATGTTCTTTGTTCTCACTTCCTCCTTCATCCCAACGTCATGTAATGTAACCCAACATTTCCATCCATGTGTCTCACAAAAGTGCCTTGCATTTAATGAACTTACTGTTTGCTAACTCATTCACATTCCCTGTGTCTAGCA